ACCAAAAAAACAAAGAAACAAAACTCCCTTCTCTGCTACTTCCTCTTCCCATCCTGGTCCCACCTACAAATGAAAGTAAGGTTTTGAGTATATTTATATGCATGAGAAATACACAGAAAAGTATTTTTTTTCATATTCTCAGTGGACAGCAACAAAAGGTTGATTACTACTCATAGAGTTTTCATTTTAGAAAGCAATTTTCTCATACATTTAGTTCACATGCTTACAGAGAGGTAGTGCTGAAATGATCATTTCAATTTCATGGATAACATGGCCGAACGAACAGGCTACGCATGGTATCAGAGATCACTCAGATAACCAATAATAGAATTCACCTAAGTTCATTTTTTTGGACTAAAAAACATCCTGTTCTCTTTCTGCTAAATACATGTTCAGAATCTAGACTCTGGAGAAGGCTTATCTTGGCCCTTGCTTATTTTCTTTTGCTTGAAAATCAATAAACCTTTCTGAGGACTTTGTTGGAGTGTAATTTGTGTGTTTTTTGCACGTGTGTGCACATGGGCTCATGGGCATGGCACTGAGAAGGAACCCAAGGCCTCACACTTGCTTAGCAGGCACTCTACTGCTGAGTCAATTTCCATTCCTTGTCAGTCAGAGCAAACTAACGGTTAAAGTAATGCATGAACCAAAGAATGCAGAATGATTTTCTACCAGGCTAAGTAGAGCATAATTAGGAAAATCGATTGGTAGGACTAAATATACCCTAGAGCAAAAATGATGTTGAGAACTCTGATTTTTAGAATGTATCTGCCCTTTTAGAATATTTACATGAGCCATAAATACTAGAAAAATCAATATAAACTATTTAAAAATAGTTTAAAGTCAGTTTTCCAGGAGTGGAGGAAGGAAGGAATCAAGTTTCCAACTGTCTTCTGCTCATCAATTTTCTTTTCTTTTCTTTTTTTGTCAGTCGTGGGGCTTGAACTCTGGGCCTGGGCACTGTCCCTCAGCTCTTCAGCTCAAGGCTAGCACTCTACTATTTGAGCCACAGCGTCACTTCCAGCCTTTTCTGCTTATGTGGTGATGAGGAATCGAACCCGAGGCCTCATGCATGCAAAGCAAGCACTCTACCACTGAGCCACCTTCTCAGCCCTGTTCATCAGTTTTCAAGAAGGGCAAAAGCAGAATCCTATGCAACTTGGCCCGGCATTATTATAAAACATGTGAATTTGTCAGCCTTTCTTCTCATGGGCCATGTCCATAGTCACCAGCAAAGACAGCTTCAAAGAACTAATTTTCTTCACTCAAAAAGTTAAAGAAACCTGAGTATCTTTCCCATTCTGTAAAGTTACTCAAAATTGAAGGGATATTTGTCTATCTTCTCAGCATCTATAATTAAAAATCCGATCCTTTATTTTAGTGCTTAAAACCCAGAGAGTTGCCACCACATTCTTTTAAAGGAATCTCCCATGAACTGGTTTCGGTGTCATCCTTAAATTTGTCTTTTCTTGTGTTGGTACTGGGGCTTGCACTCAGTGCCTCAAGTTCTTGTTTTTTTCACTCTACCGCTGGAGTCACACCTCCACCTCTAGCTTTGTGTTAGCAAACTGGAGATAAGAGTCCTTTGAATTTGTCTGTTTGAGCTGGCTTTGAATTTTGATCCTCCCATCTCAGCCTCCCAAGTAGCTGGGATTATAGGCATGAGCTACCAATACTGGGCTTCATCATTAGATTTGCATTCATTAGTTATGTGAACGCAGGAAGATATACACTTTAAACATTTCATTTAGAATTACATCAAAAGATTTCTTAGCACCCGTGGTTCATGCCTGTAATCCTAGCTACTCAAGGAGGCTGAGGTCCACAGGTTGGCAATTTCAAGCCAAGCAGAAAAAAATCTGTTAGAATCTGGTTATCTATAAAACGATTGGCAAGGACTGGGAAGGTGGCTCAGTGGTAGAGCGCTTGCCTTGCATGCCTGAGGCCCTGGGTTCGATTCCTCAGCACCACATAAGCAAAAAGAAAAAAGCCGGAAGTGGCGCTGTGGCTCAAGTGGTAGAGCATTAGCCTTGAGCTGAAGAGCTGAGGGACAATGCCCAGGCCCAGAGTTCAGGCCCCATGACCGGACAAAAAAAATAAATAAATAAAACGATTGGCAAAGAGGTGGACTAGAGACATGACTCAGGTGAGCAAACAAGCTGAGCAAGTGTGAGGCCGAGGCTCCTGTACTGCCAAAAACAAACAAAACAAAACAAAACAAAAATTTGGTTAGGGTCCCCCAGCAGGAAATTAACTGATAGCTTCATGTTTCCTTTGGGCATTTGGTGAAAACCTAGAGGAATTGCTGCCTAGACCTATTCTTAGGCAAATTGAAAGATCTAGGAGCAAGCTACAGATGGCAGAGGTAAGGAGGGGTAGATTTGGACTTATAATTACGGGGGTTTGAGGACTTCTGGGTCATCTCCTAACTGTAACTGATACTATCATCTTGGGACACCACACGTTGTCAGGGCCAAAGAGCAATGTTAGCGCAGGACAGTGTTAAACTCCTTCCTCCCTTTAAACTGTGAAATAAGCATCTGACAAGGACTATAGTATTGGTGAAAACGTTATTTTTTGGTTGGTGGATGTTAATATACTTAACTGAAGGCTGATGAGGACCTTTGGATTTGCCAACCACTTTTTTTTTCAGTAATTGAATCAATAATAGCCCTCCCCCCTTGCCCGCCCCAGCAAAAGCCATTTACCTTGAGTGGGATATAATTCAGTTTATTCCAGGGCAAAGGAAATTACTTCTGTAGAGATTTAAATGTATTAGTCTTTGGAAGTCTAGGTGTTCCATACTAGATCATGATAAACACAAAATCTTTAAGGCATTTTGTTTTTTCTACTCTTCAAAAGCCCCATGTCCACATTTAGTGCCTCTGCCATGTTGGACTGGATTTTATTCTAACCATTTAGGCACTGCTGAGTGGTAAAGGAGAGAGGCTGAAGAGCCAGACAGAAGGAAAACACTAATCAATAGCACCTTCTCATTTTAGTGTCTCGCCTCCCACCAAAAATGTCCTAAGGGGCTTAGCTGGTTAAGAGGATTACAAAGAGATGGCTGTGGCCAAGGTTTTTAATCTTCTTAATTGTTTGTTTACTTCTGTCTGGAGAGGGCCCCAAATTCACCTCTTTCTAAATAAAGAACGCCCAGGTAAGATATTAGTAAAACTAACACCAACACAGCAGCTGCTGCTACAGGAAGGGGAAGAAGTTCAACCCAGAACACACAGGCATTTCATTTGCTGTCTTTATTCGTTCTTCTTCCAGGATGGCAGGTGCTGAGATCAGAGACAGAAACCAGATATCCCCACTCCTCCCGCCCCCTACCGGCCCATGCCCCCCCCCATCAAGGAAATTGGTGTAAAAGAATTGCAATTCAAGTCCTGTAATTGGGGTATGCAGAGAGAAACCAAACCCAGCCTGGGAAGGCAGCAGGAGGACAGGGTAGGATTTCCTATCTGCAAAGATGGCAGAATCCAAAGGATGGATAATTGTAATTTTGAGCAACTACAGCAGATGGTACAGTGGCAAGGTGATACACATTCAAAGACTAATATGGGCTGGGAATGCGGCTTAGTGGAGAAATTTGCCTAGCATGCACGAATCCCTGGGTTCAATTCCTCAGTACCGCATAAACAGAAAAAGCTGGAAGTGGCAGTAGAATGCTAGCCTTGAGTAGCTAGGATTACAGGTGTGAGTGATGGACACCTAGCTCCACTTAATATTATTGAGAGTTTTGTTTTTAAAGAAAGGACTAGCTGGGTGTGGTGGTGTACATCTGTAATCTCAGTACCAGGAGGCTGAGGCAGGAGTTCCAGGCCCATTTGGCTACATAGAAAGATCCATCTGAGAACTAGTCATTTGAGGACTTCAGATTTACCTAAGTCATGAGGGTAAATCAGTTATTTTACCTGAGGGCTTATTTCCATTGTTGAAGGAAAATAACTTCCTTCAGCCTTACAAGTAGGAAATGTAAGTTTAGAATTTTAAGTCTACAAGAGGATAGTTTCTCATAAGAAACACACATATGGCTTAGATAAACTAAGCCAACTCAAATTTAAAATAGTGGATTTGAAAAGGGAAAACAGATTGATGGGAAGCTTTGTTTTTTGTTGTTTTGCTGAGCTGGGGCTAGAACCCAGGGCCTTTTGACTATGGTTGGAAGGCAAAGCATGCTACCACTGAGGAAGAGTCCCAGCTCAAAAGTTCTTCCTAAGAAATCTCACAATTCTTTTGTCATACAAGTGAGTGAAGACAGAGGCTCCATGAAAAATAATCTTTTCTTTTACTCAAGGCTAGCACTCTACCACTTACCACTTGAGCCACAGTGCCATTTGTGGCTTTTTCTCTTTATGTGATACTGAGGAATTGAACCCAGGGCTTCATGCGTGCTAGGCAAATACTCTAGCACTAAGCCACATTCCCAGCTAAGCTATTCTGTTTTAAAGTGAGCATACTATGGGCCTGTCTGTCTTTCTTTACTTCCTTCCTTCCTTTCTTTCTCTCCTTCTTTCTTTCTTCTGGTAGTGGGGTCTGAACTCTGGGCCTGGAGGCTGTCCCTCAGCTCTTCAGCTCAAGGCTAGCACTCTACCACTTGAGCCAGAGTGCCACTTCCAGCTTTTTCTGTTTATGTGGTGCTGAGGAATCAAACCCAGTGCCTCAGGCATGCAAGGCAAGCACTCTACCACTGAGCCACCTTCCCAACTAAGCCACCTTCCCAGCCCCTACTAAGGACTTTTCTAAACTTCCATAGTTAAAATCTAAAACCTGGTAAAGCAAGCTTTGGAAAGTCAGCAGGACATGATCGCCACCTTGTGTTAAACAGTCTTCATTACACCCCAAGACAACACATCGGACTCTTAACAGTTACAGAATATAGCTTTATTTATAGAATCTTACAAATAAAACATTTACAGTCCACATAAGTTAATTTTCTTTTCTAATTCTTCCCATAACACCTGAGTTATTTAAAAAAATACTGTGATGAAATTGCAGAACTGTAAAAGAGGAAATATGAATAAAAACCTAACCTCTCTCTTGCAAAAAAAAAATTACTTAAAAAAGTAGATTTCCAGAATATTACTCAATTCTTTTGGAAGAAGACTTGCCAAAAACAGACCTTAGCCTACCTAAACAGAGAAGTCTTTTTCATCCCAAGTTGAAGGACCATTGAAGAATGGTCCCATATGGACACTAGACACAAAATGCCTTTGAGGACAAGGACAGAGGAGAGGTATGCAGTGAGGTTGAGACTGGAACCCTCTTGCCGGCTAAGGGGTCCTTGCTTGTGTTGACAGGAAGCTGGTTCAATTGTAAAGAGAGAGACTGATGGTGTTACACCAGGGGACAAAAGTCCACTGAACAACTCACTGTCTCAGACTTCTAATATGTACAGATGCTTGAAACTGCAAATCCACCTTTTAAAAGACAAAAGAAAAAAAAAAGACACTGCCATGTTTTCAATTCATGGGCAAATCTGTGGCCAACGGCAGCTACCTGCTGACTCAAGCGTGTCCACCCCTCCCTCCCAAGCTCTGATTGGGGCTGGCCTCTGCACCCATGCCCTTTCAAGAGGGCTCCCCTTGGAGGCAGCTAGCTGTCTGTAAAAGCAAAGTTCATGGGTTGTTTATTGTAGGTGCACAAAAGAAAAAGAAAAACAAAAAAGGCACGCACCCTGTCATTTCATGTTTACTGTTCAACTTGTTAAAAGATTTTAAGCTTCTCTCCAAAATGAAGAAAACTCACTAACTCTTAACTCCATATTCTACTCAAGAAAAATGGTTATATTAACATTTTAATACATCAATGTGAGCTAGGTAAAGCAAAACCTTCCAGTCTTTTTTTTTTTTGGTGATGCTGGGGATAGAACCCAGGATTTCATGCACACTAGGCAAGCACTCTACCACTTAGCTCCAACCCAGCCCTAGAGTGCTATATTCTGCCACCTCCTGAAAGCAGTTTAAAAACAAAACCGAAAAGACAAAGAATCATTATAAACAATAACAACAATGATAATATAAAAAGTTAAATTCTGACATTCAAGGAATTAATTCTTTGGTAAAACTAGACCCCAACCCTACCAGGATTCAGTCCTGACATTCAATCTAGAATCTTGATTTAGAAATTTCCTCCTTCCTCAGCCTTGTCTCAAAACTTATCCAAGTCAACAGGCAACAACGGGCGAGACATTTAGCAAGTATCACAACCAGTTTTCTCACTCATCTTCATTTCAGGAATATTCCTAGCAGAGGGCTGTTTCCCATGGAGAAGAAAAAAAAAAGATGCTGCTTTTAATTACTAATGGGACAGTTGACATTGGCAATGAACTAGTACTCGTCGGTCATGTGAATGAACATGGCCCCTGGGCTGCAACTGTGGGCACCACTAAGAAAGGCTCCGGGAGAGACTGGCTCCCCAAAGTGGCTAAAGAATCCACATTATCAATATGATAATAATAAATCAATTCACCTAGTGAACCTGGAGATGAGCTCCCCTGGAAGCCAGAGTTATAGAAGGGGGAGAGGAGTAGGGAGGGTGCCACAGTGCCTGAGGCTGGTCTATAGTGTTAAAAGACAAGCATATCCATCTGTTTTCTGGAGAGAATTAGAGCAATTCGCACTCAATACAGGGTTCACCTTTTTTTTCTTGTTTGGAGCAAAGGAGGAAGTGGTAACCTAGCCAGTACCTTTAATTCCTATTCACAGCAATGGCACCTGCAATGCCATAACTCACTATCTTGACCAGAGTCCCGAATCCCTTAGTACTCAAACTTTTATTCATATGATTAGCAAGTCCTAAGTTATGCCTGCACGGATTCCATCTCTGATTACCCTTTGTCATAGTAAAGCACAAACTGCTGCATCCCAGTTCTTCAATTCAGCTTGCTATTCTAAAGCAGAAGACGTGTCCAGGGGGAGGAAGTTTGTGCAATCTCCCCCTCTAATACAAACAAATGTGCTCAGAATGTGCTTTAAGGGAGGCATTAAAGTCTTAGAAGGAAACTGGGAAGAGAAGGTGGAAATCACTGCAAGACCAATTGTTTTCTGTGGATCTTCTGCCTCTCCATTCTGTTAGTGTTAATTAACCAAAACAGAAGAGGTGACCCAGGGAAGTAAACCTCCACATTAGCTCTCCTGACAGTCCTGAGGCGCCAGGTACTGCACATTACCAACACCCAGCATCCAGCGGGAACAAAGGAACATTACAAGACTATTTCCCTCCTCACTCAGGCTGATCCTTGCCTCTCTCTGCCTGCCCTGCTGAGGTGCTCTGACTTTTAGTTCACTTTGACAGAAGTTAGAGGCAATGAAAAGACTGGGGAAAGGTAGGGATTTCTGTCTCTTGCTCATTCTAAGAATAGAAGAACCTGTTCTCAAAATGAGCCAGCTTGAGGTCCAGAGAGTACATTTTGATTGATGGGTCCCAGAGTATGAACGCCTGGTATTTATAACCAACCTATGACCATGGGCTCCATTTTTACATGGTATGAAATTCAAAATCTCTTGGTGCTTCTTCTAAGAGAGAAAGGCCAGAGTAGCCAGAGAGAAAAGGGAAGCTTGTCCTGTACGTGGCATTCAGGTTCTAGAATCCTTGTGAGAGGAGGAAGCTAGGCACTACCTAGAGAATGGTTATCAGGGCAACTTCTTCCTAAGACAGAGTATTTTAAAACAGCTGACATCTGAACAACGGCCGGCAGTCTGAGTCAAGTTCTAAGGGAACTGCCTCTTCCAGGTGTTTTGTGGATGCTGAGTCCTCAGGCCGGGGAGTAGATGCAGCCCACGGCCCGACGTGCAATCCCACTGACTTCTGGCAGGGTCCTACCCGATCTGGATTTGTTCTGCGTATTTAGTGAGGACCAACATGATAGTGAAGCCCGTGAGCAGGCCCAGGTTCTGGATGGCAAAGGGGATCAGGACGCTGCCCTTCCTTTCATCCTCCTGGCAGACCTCATTCATCTCAGGAAACTGAGAAAAGAGAAATGGAAGAATAGAAATTCACCTTTCTTTACCATCTAAGAATGGGACAATTTTGGGGTATATTGCAGTTTGGTTGACAAAATGGGCAGCAGCAGCAGCTAGGGCTTGAATGTGACAGCATCCCTCCAAAGTGTTTCCGGTGATTACAGCTACACAGGTAAAAAGCAGCGCTGAGCATCAGTCAAATTCTTGAGTTATTGATAAGGTTAATATAGAAAATGACCTAGTCATTAATAAAACTGAAAGAAAGCCTGTGGACTTGAATATTTAAATGCTGGCTAAAGACAAAAATCCTGGTTTAGAGAAAAAAAAAGTCTTCAAAAACACATGAAAAATGGCTAGGGATATAGTTCGGTGGTACAATGCCTACTTAATATATATAATCTTGGGTTCAATCTCTAGCACTGCAAAAAAACAAAAAACCAAATAAACATTTGAAAAAATATATTTTTACTACAAAATGTCATCATTGGAGACCTCTTGGAGAAATCCAGCAATTGTATAAGGGGTCAGAGAATGGGATAACACAGGATTTAAGGTCAAGGGCTGCTAGGTCAATAAGGCCGGTGACAAGATGTAATGTAACACATCTGAACTATTCATGAGCAGGCTCCCACAAGGGAGGAAAAAAATCTGAACTGACTGCTTCCATGGATATGGCTGGATGGTGAGGGCCAGTGCTCTCATCAAAAGTATTATTTCCAAACGAGGCATTGGTAGCTCATGCCTGTAATTTTAGATAGAGGCAGAGATCTGAGGACCACAATTCAAAACAAGTCTGGACTAGAATTATTTTAAGAAAGCAAAGTGGAAGGTGGGAGAATGTTAGAGGGGGTGAAGCTGATGAGGATACATTGTATACATGAATGGAAATGTCACAATGAACCCCCTCCCACAACAAATTTCAAAAAAAGACACACTTGGGCTGGGAAGTTGGCTCAGTGGTAGAATGCTTGCCTTGCATGCATGAAGCCCTGGGTTCCATTCCTCAGCACCACATAAGAAAAAAAAGCCAGGGCTTGGAAGGTGGCTCAGTGGTAGAGCGCTTGCCTTGCATGCCTGAGGCCCTGGGTTCGATTCTTCAGCACCACATAAGCAAAAAGAAAAAAGCCGGAAGTGGCGCTGTGGCTCAAGTGGTAGAGTGCTAACCTTGAGCTGAAGAGCTGAGGGATAGCGCCCAGACTGGACCCCCACAAAAAAAAAAAGAAAAAAAAGCCAGACGTAACGCTGTGGTTCAAGTAGTAGGGTGTTAGCCTTGAGCTGAAGAGCTGAGGGACAATGCCCAGGCCCAGAGTTCAAGCCCCATGACTGACAAAAAAAAAAAAAAAAACTGCTGGGAGCCAGTGGGTCACGCCTGTAATCCTAGCTACTCAGGAGGCTGAGATCTGAGGATCTCAGTTTAAAGCCAGCCTGGACAGGAAAATCCAAATAACCATCAGAAAACTGGAAGTGGCACTGTGGCTCAAAGTGGTAGAGCATTAGCCTTAAGCAAAAGAGCTCAGGGGACAGTGCCCAGGTCCTGAGTTCAAGCCCCATGTCCAGAAAACAAAACAAAACAACTACTGAATTGTACACCTCAGATAATTAAATTATGAAAGATAAATTATGAAAGATCTTTCATAAATTAAGTTTATGAAAGATCTCTCAGTAAAGTTACCCAAAACAAAGTAACCAGTGTCCCTTAGCTGTCCTCCTAATCCACACATTCAGTCATCTAGTCCAGTTCTGCCTACATAACATAGACCAGGGCATAGACCATGGCAGACTTACCATATCAGCCAGAGATATGTATAAGAACATGCCTCCTGCCAGTGCAAAAATCCAGTTGGCAGAGAAGTGGCTGCCGGCCAGGATGCCAAAGGCCAGACCCACATAGCAGCAGCAGGCAGAAAGGAAGTTGAAGAAGAGAGCCTGCTGGATGCTCATGCCAGCATTGAGCAGGATGACAAAGTCTCCTACAGGGGGAGAGTAAGAAGAGGACGGTGGTTGAGTCGGCACACAGAGAACATCGATGAGTCATACTGCTGAAACCACGGGTGAAAAATAAAGATAGCCCCAGACTGCTATGAAAGAGGAAGATACTTCGTCTTCCTATTCAGGAACTGTCTTCATCTGTCACACTGGCCAGCTCACTGACACATTTCCAGCTTAGATGCTGGAAATAACTTGGAGGATTTTTCAAGTAGATGAGCAACTACCAATGACCCCATTGACAGTGAAATAAAATGAGCTCTCCAACAAAATTAAGAGGGAGAAAAGTAAGTCACAAGCCAATAAAGGCCAGGATTTGATTGTGAGTTCAAGTCCTGGTTCCAGCACCAAACAAAAACCTTCCAGAATCAACCAAACCTCTGCACTCTAAACTATGATCTGTACAACGGTTACAGTGGTTGGATGTGCAGAGCTTAGTGGAGGTGTTAAATGCAATGTGTACAGTGAGGAGAGGGAAAGTAGGTGGGGGGCTGTGGTGAAGGAGTAGGTCCAGTGGGGGGACTCTTAACTTACCCAGTTCATGTGGGAACTCCTCACAGAGAATGGCCACTGAGGTGCTGATGCCCTGAAACACGGACACGGTGAAGGAGGCGCCGATGGCCAGACCGTCAATAAAATTGTGGAGGCCATCACTGAGGGTGATCATCCAGGCCAGGGTACCAATATCAGAGTAGCGAACACCTTTCAGCCAGTAGCAGGCACTTTGGGATGCCTGCAGGTCCTAGGAGAAAGCACATGCCCACGGCCACAGAGGGTTACAATGTGGACCACCTGCTTGTCTCCCTTAGGTCATGACCTTGCCTTTTGTTTTTTTGGCCAGTCCTGGGGCTTGAACTCAAGGTCTGGGCACTGTCCCTAAGCCTCTCTGTGCTCAAGGGTAGTGCTCTGCCATTTGAGCCACAGTGCTACTTCTGGGCTTTTCTGTTTATGCAGTACTGAGGAACTGAACCCAGGGCTTCATGGAGGCTAAGAAGGACTCTACCACTAGGTCACATTCTCACTGACTTTGCCTTTTATTCCCCTATTCTTGAGAAAGGTTTTATTATTCTGACCACGCTAGTTAGCAACTCCTCCCACCTCAGCGTCCCAACTCGGACTACAGGCTTGTGCCAATCCACCTAGCTGAGGCCATTATCTCCTAAAAGATCTTCTTGGAGCTGATGGCCACTGACCTGCACGGAGAGTGAGCCTACAATGACCTTCTCGTCCAGCCCAGGGTCCTTGCCATCCAGCTCGCTGTCGCAGTGCTGAGGGATCATGTGGTCCAGATCCCCATTCTGCAGCTTCTCGGTCACACCCTCTTCCTGGTCCTTCTTGGAAGGAAGCGTGTCAGATGTGAAATGGTTATGTCCATGATGATGCTAGAGGGACAACAGGGAGGGAGTCAATGTGACTGTTCCCCAAAACACCAGCCCAAATGGGCATCTGCTTAGATTTTACTGGGGGGACCTCATTTCTACATCCAAGGAAAGCTAAACAGGCCACACAGGGACGCCAGGGAAGCTCTTACCTACAGCAACTCTCCAAGTGGGAAGGCAGAGATAGAGTGTTAAAGTATCAAAGTAGACCTGTGAGGACATCACCCAATCCAGTGAAGATGGCCACTGTTCTAAGTGCTCAGAGCCCCACCTTCATAAGGGCTATACCCCTTAAGCTCAACCACCATTTCAGCACCAATCACATGCCAGTAACTGAAGAAAGCTTTGTGGAACTATATACTACTAGTCAACATCAGCCCTATTTTTTTTTTTTGTACCAGTCCTGGGGCTTCAACTCAGGACCTGGGCACTATCTCCTAGCTTTTTCTGCCCAAAGCTAAGTGCTCTCTACCACTTGAGCTAAAGATCCACTTCTGTTTTTTTGGTGGTTAAATGGAGACAGAAGTCTCCAGCGATTTTCTGCCCAGACTCTGTTTGAATTCCAATCATCACATCTAAGTCTCCAGAGTAGCTGGGATTACAGGGATGAGCCACTGGCTCCCTACAGCCCTTGTACTGATTACACAATGTTATCATAAATATGTGTGTGTGTGTGTGTGTATGTGTATACACATACACATCTATCTATCTATCTATCTATCTATCTATCTATCTATCTATCTATCTATCTATCTATCTATGTGTATATATATATAAAATCTTAGCTCAGGACAAATTACCACTATTAGTAGTGGGATTCACTGGCCAAATCCATTTCTAGTCCAACTTCTGCTCCACAAATATCCTTCCATGGGCTGATCCTGGTTTTAAGACCTCTGTCATTTCTCATATAACTTGGCAGAAATCATGAACCACTGGTACAGTACCATACCAGGCCCCCGAAACAGTGTGTTGTGAGGGAGGTGGTTTTCCTAGAAACCCCTTTACAAGCAACTGGGCCTCACCTCGTTTTTTGGCTTAAGGAGCATCTTCAAGATCTTCTCTGTGAAAAAGAAAAGGTAGAAGCCCCCAAATACTACCGCAGACTTGGAGACATAATCATCTTTCAGTGGGTTGAAACCAAAAGCCTGTGGACCCAGGAAAACACAATGAGTTGAAACAAACAAAAAGCCTTTGCTGGTTGTCTTTTACCTCCTAACTGTTCCTTGACTCTAAGAAAGGAAAAAGCTGTCCTGTGGCCTGTGATAACTTTGTAGACAGCCCATTAGCAAAATTTAATCTTGATGTTTCCCGGATGTGAGGTCACTATCCTGGCTGGGTTCCCTCTTGCTCACCTTCTGATGCTGAAGCCATTTTAATCTCAGGAAAAAACAGTCCTGTAGATGGTTTTCTATTTTTTTCTTTCTTTGAGGCCTGTCTAGGCTGGTCTCAAATTCCCTATTTTCCTGCTTCATCTATCTAGTGATGGGATTACAGGCATGTACCACCATGCCTGGTAGTTCTCTACTTTTACTGAAAACCCTATCTTAATTTCTTTTGGTGTTTAGCTTTAAAAACTATCCTGTCAGCAAATTCCATGTGTCAGCAGAGGTCACTTGTGTTTGTTTTCAGCTTATCTCGTGTCCCTGGCTGACCTGCCTGTAAACACAATGGGAAGTGGCTTAATGATGCTTTCTAAAAAGGGAAAATTCATTCCCCAGAAACCAGTAAGGATTGCAGTATCTTCCTGACCACAGGCCTCACAGGGACCACAGACTAAGAGCAGGCTATGTCCTGCAGGTATCAATCTCAGTGAAACAATGCGTACTGACAAAGGCTTGTAGTTCCCAGCTACTCAGGAGTTCAAAGCCAGCCTGGGCAGCACAGGGAGAATTTGTCTTTAAGGAAAAAAAAAAAAAGGGGGGAGGCCGGGATGGGGAGGAGGGGGGCGGGAGCTGGGCACTGTTGGCTCATGCCTGTAATCTTAACTACTCAGATTCACGGCTCAAAGCCAGCACAGGTAAGAAAGTCCAAGAGACTCTTATCTCCAAAATATTATTCAGAAAAAGTTGGAAATGTCGCTGTGGCTCAATTGGTCCAGTAGTAGCCTTGGAACACAAAGAGGCTCAGGGACAGCACCTAGGCCCTGAGTTCAAGTCCCAGGACCAGCAAAAGAAAAAAAAAAGGAGGGAGTAGTTATTTTGAGTCCTTTTTGATAATGTCACTTGTTAAGAGGAAGAAAAAGATGGGAGTGGCAATTGGGAAGAATATCCCAAGTTCAACTCCTGATTTAAAGTGCCAAAGCGTCCAGTGACCTGCTTCAGGAAACAGGTCTCTGACATAACTCCAATCCCAGGGCTTGAGGAAGCTGAGACAGGAAGATTGCAAGTTCAAGGCCAGCCTGGGCTATCTGGCAAGACCTTTGTCTCCAATAAAAATAATTTCTAGCTAAGTGCTGGTGGCTCACACCTATAATCCTAGCTACTCAGGAAGCTTAGAGCTGAGGATTGTGCTTCAAAGGTGGCCTGGATAGGAAAGTCCGTGAGACTCTTATCTCCAATCAACCACCAGAAAACTGGAAGTGGTGCTGTGGCTCAAAGTGGTAGAGTACTAACTTTGAGCAAAAGACCTTAGGGACAGCTCCTAGGCCCTGAGATCAAGCCCATGACTGACAAAAAAATAATAATTGTACTGGGAGGAAAAATTTTTTCATCACAACCCTCTAGTGTTATTTACCAAGAGGTGCAAAGGTCAAGTCAGGTAGAAACAACACAGTCAGACCAGGAGAATGGGAGAATCACAGGGAAAGGCACGGTGGAAAGAGTTAATAACTATCACCTCTCCACACACAAAGCCAGGCAGTATGGCAGAATTCAAGAAGCATACTTTGGATTTCATGGGACCTGGCCTCAGCTTGGGATGTTGGGAGTGGGTGGGAGAGGGAGGGGGGGGTATCTCATAAAGATCAGGATCACGGGGGGAAAATATAACTTGTTCTGCAGATTTCACAAGAGTTGATCCACTAAAAGCACACACAGCATTTCAGAAAATATCATGTGTTCTAAGAAGCATGTGGAATCATCTCCTGGTTTTGTCCAGTCCTGCAGACCACCTACAGTGAAATGCCTTGTGCTTATTATAATGAATAGGTCTACTGAAAAGATTACACCAAAGCTGATGAAGTATCTCCAAAGCTGGCTATCAGACCTTACAAATACTAGGTTCCTTTCTCTTCTATGGGAGGTTTTTTTTTGTTGGTCAGTCATGGGGTTTCAGCTCAAGGAGAGCCACACCTGCCACTTCCAGTTTTCTGGTGGTTTATTGGAGATAAAGAGTCTCACAGACTTTCCTGCCCAGGCTGGCTTTGAGCTGGGATCCTCAGATCTCAGCTTCCTGAGTAGCTAGAATTACAGGCATGAGCCACTGGCACCCGGCTCTATGGAAGGTTTTCTCAAGGTAAGCAAAATCTGACTGTTATTTTAGTGATTCCCTTTGCCCCAAACTCCCTACTGAGAACTGGTCTTTTTATTGAGACCCATGGATTCTACTGATGTGTTTATACTTCTCTGCACCAAAGCCTCAAACTGACAGCCATGAAATAACATACCTACAATACTTCTTTTCATGAACAGTTATAGCACTTTATAGGTACCAGGTGTTTTGCAAATATTAACTCAGTGAACCCTCACAACATGACCTTGAGGTCAATCCTACTGTTTCCCTATTTTACAAGAGGAAACAGAAGCAGAATGAGGTAAATGGCTGGCTTAGATTGTAAAGGCTGGGATTTGAACCTGGCTCTTAATAACTCTGTCATGTGGCCTCTCCTAAGTCTTGCCTTCACTTTCTAAAAACTGGTAATTACCCAGAGGTCCCCCTCCCGGGGCCTTCTCCCTGGGCTTGCCCACACAGTGTCCTAGCTGATGGGCAAGCTCCAAAGGGAGTGCTCTGGCTTGCCATACCTCGGGGATGAGCTGGAAGAGGGCGTTGGAGTAGAGGGTTCCAATCGCCAGAGCTATGAAGTAGAGCAGCAGCCTCTTGTAAAAGGTCTTCTTCATGAAAGGCACCACGCTAGCCCCCATGAGGGAGCAGAGGGAGATGACGGTGACACAGAGGAGACCGTATCCCCACACTGCCAGCCCACCCGAGACAGGGAGCAAGGCAACCACCATTTGAGGGAAAGCAGATGGAGAGGTGGGAGGCCACAGTGAAAGTTGTGGATATTAACGAAGGGCACAAAAGAAAAATCAGAGAGACAAGTAGGGAGGGAGAGAGAAATAGAAAATTTGTTAGTGATTCAAATCTGATGAAATTGTCTTCAATCAGTGCAAGAGAAAGGAGTGTGAGGTGGCCTTGGAACCCTGTGACTACCAGCCCTTCTGCATTTGGTGGCCTTCCATATCTGCAACTCCTGTGATGGCGGCAGGACAGGATGCTGTCTGATCACACATATGAGGTACCTCAGGCCTGCCACGGATTTTAACAGATCACAAAAGCACGAGAGAATGCTCAGTAGGCTGCTTTTGTTGATTTACACGTACAATTTGTGTCACAGAGGGCAAATGTGATACTACCCGAGGATGGTTTGGTTCATGCAAAATACAACCAAGTCACATGCAGGGAAGAAGGGACACAGATCAGATAAGACTCAATGTCCATGACATTCAGGTTTTGAACTTCTCAGTTCTTTTGGCTTATTTCCATTGGCTTTCTGAGGGATGCAGAGGTAGAGAACAGAGTTCCAAGACCAGCCCACCATACACACTCACACACACACACACACACACTGCAAGCACACGCGCACGCGCACGCACACACACACCACACAATTTCAAATGTATTACCCAAGGTGACACACTCTAGGCTATGAGTCCAGTCCCAGAGAAGGGCAGGACAGAGCAGAGCTGGTGTGACACTCCCTGAAAGCCACAGGGTAGATCATGTACAATGAATGACAGGAATTTCATTCAAACAGGCAATGATGATTTCTTTTCATTTCAAATCTTTATAAATTAACAAGTTCAAATTCTGGAGCTGAAAAAATAGCCCAAGATGAGGCCTCCCTGGAGAAGCGACCCACGGGGATCCATGATGATGGAGCTAGGGATTCTTAAACCATTTCTTCCTCCAGGAACTGACGAGGTATGACACCCTGTCTGGCCCCTTCTCAGGTGAGACTTTTGAATAAAAAGAGACAGGAAGCCACTGACATGGGCTCTTTATGAAAGGCAGTTCCACTATTCCAAAAAGAGAGGACCAGATGTCTGAAATACTGTTGCAATACCCCTACCTGAAAGGAAAAGATGGGTAGACTATCAACTTGGGTCTTATTTTTATAGCTCCTCAGTGATAACAATTAAAAACAAAATTACCAAACAGTAAAAACAGTTAAGTAAGGGTACCAAGTCAGCCCTATCAGGAAGAAATCAAGATGCAAGGCACAAGAGATTTGAGTTCTCCTTTTTTCTTTTGTACGTTTAATTTTGCTTTTTTTTTTTTTTATCAAATTGCCTTTGCTCATATATACACACACATATATATAACCTGCTTAAAAAACAGGATCCTAGCTACTCAGGAGGCTGAGAGCTGAGCATAAAGGTTCAAAGTCTGTTTGGGCAGAAAAGTTCACAAGACTTTTATCTCTACATATCCAGCAAAAAGCTGGAAGCAGAGTATGGCTCAAGTGGTAGAGTACCAGCCTTGAGTGAAAAAAGCTAAGCAACAGTATTCAGGCCCTGAGTTCAAGCCCCAGCACTGGAACATATAAAAAATTAGGATTCTCACTTTTTAGGCCAATTCTACATCTAGATTGGTAACCCTTTCCTCTGCCTCATTCCACATGGATAGTCAAATGGGGTTCAAACCCAAGTACCCCCAATTTCTTTGGATCAGAGGTATAGTACATAGCACCAAACATAGGGAAAGGCCTACTAACTGCAGCTTCTCTTTGGAGTCCTACCAATGGGGCTCAGGAATGAGACAAACAAAGGGTATAAACAGGGAGGGGTAGAAATGCTAGAAGCCTTGCATCTGACGTCACCTGAAGAGGCTAGAGGTCACCCTGAGTGCCTAGAGGAGAGAAGGCCCTGAGGTCCAGAGTGAAAAGTCATTGGTGGCCCTTGATATGAAGGGCTGGTTCATTTCACAGGTAGTTGTCGGAAATCTAAAAGTATGGGGGGCAAAGAGAGGGGGGTCAGCCAGAAGGGAGCTCGGCTATGGCAGCCCAGGGAAGGAGGTCCCGGGCGCCTGTTCTACTGCACCTCTGGGATGAGCTGGAAGAGCGCGTTAGAGAACAGCGTTCCAATGGACAGGGCGATGAAATAAGTGAGCACACGGCTGAAAAACGCTTTCTCTGTGCACGGCAGGACGAGAACTCCCAGGAGAGAGGCCAGGTTAATCAGTGAAACACTGAGGAAACCAAAGCCCCACACTGCGGAGGAACAAGAACAGACGAGGGCCTCCATTACTGATGGCAGCACTCCTGTGGCAGGGCCAGGCCCACAGTGATCTGGGGGCTCTGGGGGAACCCAGGCCGACAGTCCCACCAGCCCCTCAGGAAATGGCTGTTGAGGCTAGTCTCTTATGAGGTGCTGTGGAGAAGTCAAAGTTGTTGTGTCAAAGAAACTTACCTTATAGATGACAAGACTGGGAAGCAAACCAATAATGAAGATTAAATACTGTGAATTAAATGACTGAGAAACAAGGAGGCCTAATCATGGCAGCATGTGCTATGGGGTAGCCTTCAGTCTATCTGACTTCAGAAGGGCAGCCAGGGCCCCGCTTGTCACTTGGTGCTTGTTCTCACACTAGGTCAGCCCCTTGTGGTGAGAGCAGATGTACTGGATGGTAAGGGGTGAAGAGGCCAAGGCAGGTCTTTCAGGTTGGTACACCTGTGGTTTAATGGGACCCAAAAGAAAAGTAGGGCCAGGTGCAGGTGGCACTTTCCTACAATCCTAGCTACTCAGGAGGCTGAGAATTGAGCTGAGGATTGAGATTCAAAGCCAATCTGGGCAGGAAAGTCCATGAGACTCTTATCTCCAGTTACCTACCAAAAAGCTAGAAGTGGAACTGTGACTCAAGTGGTAGAGTGATAACCTGGATCAAGAAAGCTAAGGGACAGTGCTCAGGTCCTGAGTTCAAGCCCCAATTAGTGGCAGAAAGAAAGAAAGAGAGAGAGAAAGAGAGGAGGGAAGGAGGGAAGGAGGTAAGGAAGGAAGGAAGGAAAGAGGGAGAGGGGGAGAAAGAAGAGAGAAGAGAGGCAGAGAGAAAGGGAGAGAGGCAGAGGGAAAGAGGGAAGGAGGGAAGAAGGGAGGGAAGGAAGGAAGGAAGGAAGTAAAGAAGGAAGGAAGCAGGGAAGGGAGGAAGGGAGGGAGGGAGGGTGGGCTAAGCCAGGCATTGGTGTCTTACACCTCTAATTCTAGCTCTTCAGGAGACTGAGATCTGAGGATTATGGTTTAAAGCCAGCCTGAGCAGACCAATCCAAGATACTTCTGTCTCCAATTAGTCACCAAAAAGCAGGAAGTGGATGTATGGCTCAAATAGTAGAGCCTCAGCCTCAAATGAAAAAGTTAAGGAAGAGTGTGAGGCCTCAAGTTTAAGTCCAGGTACTGGCACACATCCACACACACACAAAAAGAAATAAAGGAAAGAGGAAGAAAGAGGAAGGAAAGAAGGAAGGAAGGAAGGAAGGAAGGAAGGAAGGAAGGAAGGAAGGAAGGAAGGAAGGAAGG